GGAGGGGGCCGGGCTCTGCCGCGCCGCCGCGGCCGCCTGCCCGCCCGCCCAGCCTGCAGGCCGGGCCGGGAGCGCTTTGTCCGGGCCTCGCCGCCGCTCCTGTCTCCCTTGCTCGCGGGCGCCGCCTTCCCTGAGCGGTGCAGCGTCCTCCAGCTCCGTCGTGCCTTCCCCGCGCCGCTAACGGGGTAGCGCGGCCCGGGCAGGGAGCCGGGGCGGCCTTGGGCCGCCGCTCAGCGCGGGGTACGGGCGGGAGTGAGCCGCGCTTCCCCCGCCGGGCCCGGGCGAGCCCTTGATAAAGCGTTCGGGACAAGTTGGTGTCAGGGCTCCAGTGGCGCAATCGGTTAGCGCGCGGTACTTATACAGCAGTACAAAGCCGAGCAATGCCGAGGTTGTGAGTTCGAGCCTCACCTGGAGCACAAAGCTTTTTTTGGGAGAGAAAACGGGCTTTTTTTGGGACTTGGCGGCGCTCCGGAGGGAAAAGGACGGAAGTGCGGAGAAAAATTATGCAGCCCTGGCAGCACTGTGGGCCCGCTGGAGAGGGGCATACAGAGCCCGGGGAGGCGGCACCCGCAGCGCCTGTGCCTTAGTGCCAGCTGTGTTTGTGTTTTGTGCCTACAGGTACTTGTCCCCGCTGAAGGGGACAGAATTCATGGCACCTTGTCGGTGCACAGAAACAAATGTATTCTTCCTCAGAGCTGCTTGTGAGTGAGGAATTGTAGGAAATAAAGGTTATTTTATACCGTGTTGTTTCATATGTAGTGCTTTAAGTAAATGCTCCACTGGCATCGTTGCTGCAACTCAGTGGTGATAACATATCTGCTTTGTCTCCTTTGGTGGTGACAGTGTTTGTAACTGCTTATTGCGTGGGTAATGCTTAACAAATGCACACACTGCAGCAGGAAGGAAAGTATTTCACATAATTTCTGATTTCACCACTCAAGAAAGGCAATGGGACCGTGGGAAAAGGGCAGCTCTGTAATGGAGAAGGTTGCAGGACACTTCCTGGATGCTTAGGCCCAGATCTTGTGAACTCCCCTCTACGTTAACATCTAGTCTGCTGCTGTCACAGTGCAGTTTATACCAAAAAGGTCAAAGAGGCCATTGAGATTATGCAGCCAGAGATGTCTCTATTGCTCATATCAACCCCTTTATCTGTACTGCAGGCATTAACTCCTAGAAGTGCCACTTTAAGGCTCTTAATTATCCCTTCTTCTCTCTTT